ATAGATAGATAGATAGATAGATAGATAGATAGATAGATAGATAGATATACAAGTTATATATATATATATATATATATATGTCACTTTCCAGATCTTGAACAAAAATCAGTACAATATGTATTGCTTAAAAAATTGAAAAAAACCAGACAGTCTCTATAAGTAGCTTTGTCTTTACAATTAATAGACATGCCTTCTACATACCACTGAAGACAGAACACAGAAACTGGGCTACCTTTTAAGAAGCAAAGATTCTAGTTCACTATAGTGGAAGTGGCAAGAGCTCCTAGAATAGATACTGGAAAAAAAGAGTTTTGCAGACAGACAAAAGACATATCTACACTGCAGGGCACTTGTATCTCAGACTTAATAGTAACCCACAAACACACAGGCATGTGTCCATAAATCAAGGGAGAAAAAAAACCCACTCAGGGTTGGCTTTAGTCAATGAATGTTCTATCAAGCAAACACAGAGGCTTTCATTATATGTTGACTGTCCCACAAAAAAAAAAAAAAAAAAAAAAAAAAAAAAAAACTGTTCTATAATAACCCCAGGAATTCTTTATAAAAAGCCTTGAAGGATAATCTAATCCTCAATCTAATACCCATAACCAGCCAAAAAGGAAAAACCTCATACATACTTCATAGGCAAGTGCTACGGTATTCAGAAGTGTTGTGGCTCCACAGGAAGCAAACCTTAGAACAGATAACCCTCTAAACAAAGACTAAGCAGTGCCCAAGAAAGAAAATTCTAAATAGTGTGAATACATTCTAGAAAAACTCAGAAGCATTTATAGGAATATGAAATTACTTAACATTTAAGAAAAGTAAAATTTATACTCTTTTTTAATGCTTAGTAAGCATCAACTGATTACTAAGAAATTTTTTTTAATTACAATTTTGAGAGCCTAATTTCCTCTCTAAATGAGAGAAAAATCAATCAAAACCAACCTAGACTTGATAGTTGATCAAAATAGGAAACTAAGGCACTAAAGTTACTATATTTGCATTTTGAATCTTCTAGAAGCCAAGAGAAAGACGAGATATATTAGCAAAGATACAGAGAAGAAAAGAGCCAAATGAATATCTAGGCAAGCACAAAAATGACAGAGATGCTCTACCAGATACTTGGTAATTACAGTTTTCTATTTTGTCTGGTGGGATAGGGTCCTATTCTCAGTCTATATGACCTCAAGATTTTATACTGTTGGCTAAATTCCTTTGGGGTAGTCATTCCTCGACATCATGAAGCTTCTTCACAGACATATAACGTGTAATACAGTACAGTAGCTACAGCAATCATAGACTCCCCTCATTCATTACCTGTCTTTCAGGAAGCAATGCTGGGTACTAGAAAGCTACCTAACTTGCCAAGGCTAGCAAAGTCATGAATCTGATTTAAGAAGCTAGTACCACTACTTTGCTAGACCAGCAAATTTCTAACTACATTCTAAACCTTATCTTTATACCCGCAGATAAGTGGAGTTACCCCCCGCATCATCAAAGCTCTTCTTTACAGCAAACAGAGGGCATCACAGAAAACCTCCACTGAACACAATGTAGAATTCATTGGCATAAAAATGAGAAGCCATAAAATATGAGATGAGAAACAAAAACCATGAGAGATGCGGAATAAGTGATAGAAAAGGGTCAGAGAGAAGAGGAGGAGGACCTTCCCTATCAGTGGACTTGGGGAGGGGCATGGGAGGAGATGAGGGAGGGAGGGTGAGATTGGGAGGGGATAAGGGAAGGGGCTACAGCTGGGATACAAAGTAAATAAACTGTAATTTATTAAAAAAAATAAAGTTTTAAAAAGAAAATTATAATTTGAAAAATAGGCAAATACCATCATTGTGCAAGAAATACTCAACAGTAAACAATAATAAAACGACAATATAAAGAAAAACTCATATTAGACAAAACATAAACTGAATAGTTTCTCTAAGGAAGGAAAAAAAAATGTACCTATGACCAAGGTCACAACATAGGATCTCATACTTGTTCAAAAACACCACACTTGCTTATCATTAGTGGCACTGGAAACTGTTCTAATTTGTTTTCTGTTGCTGAGATAAACACTCTGACCAAAAGTAACATAGGAAAGAAAGAAAAGGTTTATTTCACCTTACAACAAAAGCCGAGACTAGAACTGAAGCAGGATCGTGGAGGAATGCTACTTACTGGCTTGCTTCCCTCACTTGCTCAGCTACCTTTCTATAAAGCCCAGGCTCAACTGCCTAGAGATGGTACTGCCTACAGTGGACTGGGCCCTCCCACATCAATCAGCAATCCAGAAGATGCCTCAGAGGCATGCTGACTGGGCCAGTCCCATAGCACCAATTCTTCAATTAAGGTTCTTCCCAGATCATCTAGTTTGTATCGCGTTGACAAAAAACTAACCAGCATAGAATCCATGTCTAATATTATGAGACTTGCCAATAATCTTGCCAAAGGTAAAAATACTAAAGGAAGAGAGACAAAAAAATAAAATAAAATAAAATAAAATAAAATAAAATAAAATAAAATAAAATAAAATAAAATAAAATAAAATAAAATAAAAATTTAAAACTAAATAAATTATCTTTGTAATAGGTAAAACACAAACTATTTCCTTTTTGATGAAGTGCCAAAAAAAGGAAGTTATGAATCACAGGTTTTACATTCAGTCTGTGATGCTGAATTGTCAGTCATTTTCCCATATTCTAAGAAAAACGACTGTGAATTACAATGAGCAAATCCTAGATGGGAAGAGCAAAATAGCAACTGGTCCACCGATGCTCATCTTTAAAGAAATGATAAGTCCTATTCTAGAAGAGAAAACATAAAAACCACATATGAAATGAAGAAAAACTAAATTTATGGGGAAATTACATACTAACAGACGACAGAAAGAAACTGTCTGAAGTAAAATTGGCCATTTTTGAGGGAAAAAAAAAACAGTTCTCTAAAAGGGAGTAAAGGCTGTAAACATATCTAAAATAAAAAGCTAACTGTGACTGGGTCACAGCTGAATCTTATAAAACTAATGGTCCTTGGGTTACTTAAGGCGTATCAGAAGTCTGACTTCAGAGAGGATTAGATCAGACTGTATCTAGAGATTATAAGGATGAGACTACTCGGCTTGATGGAGGCAGCCCACAAGGAGCTGCTTACTATATGCAATCCCCCTACTGTGTTAACCTAAATAGAACATGAGGTACACTGCTCTGGCTTAGACACAGTACGCAGTAAACAGAACATCAGTGCTCTCTAGCCATGGACTACCTTGTTAAAGAACACAGTGATGGTGACAGCATACCTCTCCACTTCCTACTTTTCTTATAACGTTAATATTCCAGTGCGTCTGGTGCATCAGTGGAAGTGGCATTCTTCTTGCAAA